CCTGGGGGCTATGGCTTCGATTGCCAATTGGTAGCTGAGAGGTCCTGTGCTTGGAGAGAGCAGAGCACCCTGCTAGGCCCTGGAGGCCCCTTGGCATGGCAGCCCAGCTCCTTCTCAGCTCTGGTTGCGGAGAAGCGAGGTGCTCCGGGGGCCCACTTGCTTGCATTTCATGCTGGTAACACCGACTTCCTGGGACTGAGGGACACACCGTCTGCTCTCCCTCCATTCACCCGTTTGCCAGCTGAGGACCCTAGGGCCCGGAGAGGTGCAGGGACCTGTCAAGGTCATCCAGTGAGTCTGGCAGAAAACAGAGCCACGTGTCTCCCCGCCCAGGGCTCGGTCTGATGCACCAGCTGCCCTGAACCTCGGAGGCTCCAACAGCCCACTTTCCCTCCCTGATGGAATGGAAGTGTGAGGCTTGGTGGCTCTCAGCTTAGTGGGGGCCAGAGCCACGGCCACAACGGTGGCGCTGGCCTTGGAGGCGGGAGGCGGCAAGGACCTGGAGGAGTCAGCAGTGGCGCTCCCAGGAGCGACATCCACCGCGCTGTGCAGGCTCCGGCAGAATGCCAGCAGCTGGGCTCCCCGCTCCGCCCAGCCATTCCAAGGCCTCTCCACCTGTGCCCCAGCCTCAGCGTTCCCCAGACAGGCCCAGCATTCCGGAGACAGTCTTGGAATTCTGGAGATGCCTCCAGGGCAGGCCAGGGCGCGGGAGCTGTCCGGCCCCCGGAGAGGCCTCGGGGAGAGCAGAGGGGTCTCTTCAGGCCTGCCCTTGGGAGCTGGAGAACTCAAGGACCTACACGTTACCCGGAGGAGCGACGACAGCCTGGGGGAGGAGGCGGGGTCATCGTGGGTGCACCTGCCCTAGTTGCATCCCTACCCTGTGCCTGGCATGAGGGCCGGATGCTGGAACCCTTCAGAGGAAGGCCCCATCCCTAATTTCGTAAAATTGACCATCGGCTCAGGAAGACAAGAGGGTGCTGAGTGGAGTGAAGAAACCAGTGTGGTGCTGGAATGGGGATTCTGGAGACGCGGTGGCCACGAGGCAAGAGCAGTCCGGGACCCCGGAGGAAGTGCGTCTGTGGTGGGACAATCACGGAAGAGATGGCAAATCCTTCGTCCGTGCCAAAGTTGTGATGCCTCTGGGATGGGGCGGCAGAGATGTCAAGGCAGGGCCGGAGCTAAGTGAGGGTGCAGAGAAAGCGCTGTAAAGTCCCAGGTCCTCAGAGGAAGAAGGGCTTGCCCAGCCCCAGTTCCAGATGAGGCCCCTGGGGAAGAGGGAGATAGACAGGGGTGGCCAGAACTGGACACCAGCCAGCCCATGTGGGTAGTCCGGGACGGGAGGTGTGGCCAGGGGGGTGGGAGAGACCCTGGCTGAGTGAGGGACCCTGGGAGCCAGGGGGGGAGGATGGAGACATTGAAGGCAGCTGGTGGCTCTAGGGTGAGGGGCCTGGAGACCCCTGAGGCCTTGGTCACCTGGACATGAGGGTTTCCTTGGAGCCCGACGGGAGAGGACCAAAGGAGTGAGATGACGTGAAGGGGAGCTGGTGGGCACAGACAGTGCCGTGCAGCTCCCCGGGAAATGTGCTGGAGCTGCAGGGAGACATGGAGTCCAGGGAAGCTCGTTTAAGGAGGTGGGGCAGGGAACGCTGGGGGAAGACCCAGTGAGGCCCGCAAAGGGTGATGCGAGATGCAGGGGCGAGGCTGCAGAAGGTGAGCGGCTATGGGTCTCTGGGGGATGTTTTAAGGGCCTGGATCCAAGCTGGGCAAGGAGAATGGGGCTGAATGGCAGTGGGGATACTGAGCGCAGGACGGGGTGTCCACGGGAAGGGATGTTCTGAATGGAGATCAGTAGTGAGTTGGAGGATGAAGTCAGGTGGCTGAGGTAGGGGCAGGAAAGGGTGGTTGTTGGTGAGGAGGACTGGAGGGGCACCCAGGGGACGTGGGCTGCTGTTGGGATCAGGAAAGAAGAGAGAAACTCCAAGAGTTAGGCTTTCTGTGAATGAAACAGGAGGATGGCTGGGCCAGCTGTCAAGAGGGTACATGGGGAGGTGGGGGGGTGTGCCTTAAAGAGGGGTCCACAGGGAAGGGGATCTGTGCAATGGTCCCAGTGTCTCTTTTCCAGAATGAGTTTGGTTGGGGAAGAACAAGAGCACCCATTCCGTCCAGGCATGACCACCCCAGAATTCTAGCTGGGAGAGGCTGAGCTGTGACCCGCCACATAGACACCTGGTGGCTCCCGATGCACGAGCACTCACATCACACGTGTGCACAGCCCGGGGCTCACAAGCTCCCACCAGCACAAGGCATTAAGCTCCCCCATGTGCATCACCTATTTTGACCGTTTGCTGTGTTCAGTCCTCTCCATTTTTTCTGGGCTATGTCATCCTTCGCCTAGATAGTGCTTCCTCCATGAAGTCTCCCTTGATTTCTTGATCAGAAGCAATCGTTGGACTCTCCTACTGCTCCTGCCTTTTCGTAGTACGGTTGTCTGGGTACTGCCTGCTGCCCCAAAAGGCTTTGGTTTCTGCTGGGTGGCCCCACTGCCCTGCACGGGGCCTGACAGGGTGGGACCTCCTGAAGTTCCCTCTTTGTCCATTAGATGGCACAAGATGCCTGTGGGTGGACCCATTGATCTGTGCTGTCAAGGGGACGCTTGGGGTCTGTTTCCAACTTGTGGCCAGCAAGCAGGGGCCTTCACAGAAGATCCTAACCCCCTTCCCTGGCTGGGAAAATGAGACCCAAAGAGGGAGAAGAACTGCTTGAGGCCACACAACAAGGTAACAGTGGAGTTGGGGCTCCCAGCCCCTGCCACAGGCTCTTTTTCTGCAGTGTGGAGTGGGCTGCCCCGCACATCCTCCTCCGGTAGACCCAGGCCTCCCTGCAGCCCCAGCTGGGGGGCTGGCTGAGCTGAGACCCCCAGGGCGAGCTGGCAGACTGAGGAGTTGTTGGGCCTCCTGCTCACAGCTGGTGGCCACATGCTAGTTGAGGGGCTGTCTGGCTCAATCTTCAGCCAGACATTGGCCCTCAGCCCGGTCTGCAGGCTGAAATGTCTCCCCAGGGAGAAGGAGGCAGAGGGGTTCCACCCTTCTGAGGGCCCATGACAGCCCCTGCACAGGCACACCTCACCAGTGTTGAGCCTGCTACACTGGCCATGGAAGGAGGAGACTGAGGCCCAAAGAGGGGAGGGCTTTGGCCAAGTTTCTCGAAGGAGCCAGAGGCTGGGTGGACTGACGCTAGTCCCTGGCCTCCCTGAGTAGCCCCTTGCCCAATGCCAGGTCAGGACCCTGGGAGGAGGCATGTATGTGGCAGGGGGAGATGGAGACAGGGAGACAGGGTTCCAGGTCCTTCGGTCCTTCTCATGCTGACTCAAGGAGCCAACCTGTTTCCCTTCCAGGGATGAGATGGGGGTGGGGGTGGCAGGATCCCAGTACCCCAGGAGTCCCAGAAGTGAAAGAGAGTCCCAGGAAAGGGCAGGGCTGAGCAGGGCCTGTTGTCAGCCTGCTGTGTGGCCTGGGCTAGGTCCTTCCATCTCTGATGCCCCCAAGTTTCTTTTCTTTTTAAGATTTTATTTACTTATTTGACAAAGAGAGACAGAGCAAGAGAGGGAACACAAGCAAGGGGAGTGGGAGAGGGAGAAGCAGGCTCCCCATGGAGCAGGGAGCCCGATGTGGGGCTCGATCCCAGGACCCTGGGATCATGACCTGAGCTGAAGGCAGACACTTAACCACTGAGCCACCCAGGCGTCGCTGCCCCCACGTTTCTTGACCACCATCTAAGGGTTCAGGCTGGTCCATCAGGGAGGCCTAACTTGCAGGAGTTTCTAGACTCCTTGGAGCTCCTACTCTGGCCGAAGTTTGAGATCTTAGTGCCTAGAGCCTCAGATTCTGAGTGAAGGGCTCTGGGGTGGGGTGGAGTGGCAGCTGGGGGGCCGGGGGCAGAGATAGGGGCTGCTGTGGGATGGGGGACATAGGGAGAGCCCCCTCACTTGCCCCTATTCAACCCTCAGGCTTGTCTCTCCTTTGTCCCTCTTTTGTGGCTCTCCTGCCCGTGAATCCGTGCTCAGACCAGAGGGAAGGGAGGAGGGGGTTTGCGCGCTATCCCCACCTTCACTCTGGAGGGGTCATAGGTACAGGGTCTGTGTGCAAAGGGGAGCTCTGGGAAGAATCCACTCACCTGGTGACACTCTGGGCCCTGGGGCCCTGGTGGATCTGCATGGCTGAGGGATGAAGGGCAATGGGGGAGTTCCCTAAAATGGAGTGCATCCTGTCCTCTGCCCCAGTGAGCTGGGAAGGGGCCTGGAGGTCAGACAGGGACAGGCTTGGGTGGAGGAGGCTGGGCTCATCTCTTGCCAATCCCAGATCTATGAAGTATGGCCAGAATTCAAGCCCCCACCCAAAACAGGGAGTCCCTTGGACTGGAATGACCCTCCCAGGCAACTTGGGCCCTGCCAGAGGAGCTGGGAAGCGAGGCCAGTGCTTCAGGGAACTGGACCCTCCTGGTATCAGGGATCTGGGCCCAGAGTCAGTTTGTCTTTGTCGTGGGGCCCCTGTCATGGGCAATGGAAGGGCAGGGACCAAAGGAGAGCTCAGCTAGACCTCTAGCCAGCCCACCAACCTCTGATCTCTGACCCCTGACTTCCCTTCTGGGCTATCCGCCCCCCCCCAACACCCCCGTGACATTTTGTTGGAGCCTGGGGACTTGGGTCTGTGGACATTTTGTGTAAACCACCCACACCCCAGCCAGGAAAGAGTCTCCCCAATGGGAAACCAGCCAATGTGACACAGAGGCATTAACCACGCCAGTGAGGGTGGAGAGAGAGGCCACAGGTGCATGACGGAGGGGAGGGGGCCTCCCACTGCTCCCTCCCTCCCTCCCGCCCTCCGCCTCCCCGCCTTCCTGGCCCTTCAGGGGGTGGAGCCCTGCCTTATAAGTGTCAGGCCTGGCGGCCACGGAGCAAACTGCAACCAGCAGCCAGTAGCGGACTGAGAGCGGCTCGGCAGGCAGCGTGGTGCCCTTGGTTCCCCAGCATGGCCCCCTCGGCCTGGGCCATCTGCTGCCTCCTGGGGGGCCTCCTGCTCCGCGGGGGCAGCCCCAGCCTTGGCCCCAGCGTGCCCCGCCTGCGGCTCTCCTACCGAGGTACGGGCAGTGCGCGCCCTGTTCAAGTGCGCGTCTGTGGGAGCCCGGGACCCTGTGACATCCCCAGCTGGGGGGCCCAGCCAGCCCCGGGCAGTGTCTTCTGCCAGCCGGAGGGATGCAGTCACTGCCGCACAGCCCGTGGGAAGGACTTCACGGTCATTCCCCGAGGTGGTGCCCCAGTCGCCGCCAGAGGCGGGAACTGGGAGGAGGGCAGGGGCAGGTCCCAGGAGGGTGGAGGTGGGAGAGACCGAGACACAGGCGGGCAACCTGAGAAAAGGAGAGAGGCATGGAGGCCCTAAGAGGCCTCAGGAAGGATGGGCAGAGAGAGATGGGGAGGGACGGAGAGGACGGGTCTGTAAGAGGTGTGCACTCAGCCTGGGTGCCTTTGTGAGCTTGGTGCAGCAGCCTGCAGTGGAGTCCCTCGCCCCTATCCCCACAGTCTAGGCCCCCCCCCCGCCCCCGTCTGCCTCCTGTATCCCATTTCCCAGTGCTGGCTTTAGTCCTTCCCTCTCTGTCCCAGAGGCTCTTCACAGCCCAGCGGGGATCCCAGCCTCCCCTCTTTGCCCATCCTGGCCCAGGGGGTTCCTCTGCAGCTCTAACCTGGTGTGCTGGCACAGGCCCCTCTGAATTCGTGGGGATGGTCCACAGGGAAGGTCCCTGAGACACGGGCGCTCCATGACACTTCTTGGGGAAACCAGAGGGGTGATCACCCTCCCTGGGAACCCCAATCCAAGTGGGGAGACCCAGCCTGCTCTGGGAAGTCTGAGAGGGGAGACATGGCTCTACTCTGGAGAGTCCGTAGTTGGGTCTGGCGGGGGGGGGCGGGGCGGGATGTGGTCCTGTCCTGGGAGCGGTGGTTTGGGGCAAAAGTCAGGCTATAAGAAAAAGCTTGAATAGGGCAAATCCCCTCGCAAGTACTGTCAGCCATGGAGGGCTTCCTGGAAGAGGCTGTTGATGAGTTTGGGGATGGAGTGGGTACTGGGCTGGCCAATTTGGATGGGTCATCCTTTGGGCAGGTGTAGGATATCTGGCTTTCCCAACGGTGGCCAATGCCCCTTCCCACCATATCCTACTGTCTGCCCCTTTGGCCACCTGTTACCTCCACCCCCCTATCCAAACCCCAGGAACCCATTTCGGGATCCTCAGCTCCTGGGACCAGCATCCCCAGCCAGCCACCCTCCACCCCCACCTCTGGGGCCTGGGAGGACAGTATCCATGGAGGAGAAAGTCTTCCTTAGTCACATCCCTGGACTAGAGCCTTGGGCTCCACCTGGCCATACCTGGCCTTCCCCATACCCAGGGCCTTTGCCAGGTGTTCCCTCTGCCGGGAATGTCTGTCCATCTGTCCCACGGAGTCAGCCTTGCCCACTGCTCACACTCACCCAGCCTTCTTCCAGGCTCTTCCCAGCACTTTGCCCAGCTTGCTACCATAAGCTCTGCCAGTGGCACCATCTTCCCTGGGGACTGGGAAGGGCCCAGATGGGCCCAGATGGGAAGGAGATGTTAACTGAAAGGTCAAGGGACTAAGGGATGGAGGGGTAGGAAGCAGGGCTCAGAGCCCTCTGTCCCACCCACCCCCAGGAGCCATTTCCCAGAAACCCTCCAATAGGCCAAATGGATGGAAACATTTTCCAGATGTGAGTGTTGGGGGGGTGGTAGTGAGTGCACAACTGGGGCCCTCCACCTCCACACCTTAGCAGGGGGACGCGGGCTGAGCGGTAGGCCCTGACCCCCAACCTGCTCCCTCCTAGATCTCCTGTCTGCCAACCGTTCTGCTGTCTTTCTGGGTCCCCGGGGCTCCCTGGACCTTCGGGCCATGTACCTGGATGAGTACCGGGACCGCCTTTTTCTGGGGGGCCGTGATGCCATCTACTCTCTGCGGCTAGACCAGTCGTGGCTGGATCCCCGGGAGGTGAGCGGCACTGACGGAGGGGAGGGTCTGTCTGAGGGCTGGGAGGCCAGACGGGGAAACCAGCTGTGAGGTCAGGAGTCAGCCAGGCTCTGTTTCAGGTCCTGTGGCCGCCGCAGCCAGGACAGAAAGAGGAGTGTGTTCTTAAGGGAAGAGACCCTTTGGTGAGTGCTGTCAGGAGTGACTGCCCCCCAGCCCTGACCAACACCCTGGGCTTAACCCCCAGGACAGCCTGTGGCCGCTCTCCCCAGGTACTTGTGCTGGGGGCATTTGGAGCAGATCCTGAGGGCTCTGGAAGGTCTGTGAAGAATGTCACCCCCGCCCTAGATCCCCAGAGCCGATCAGCCAAGTAGGGCTGAGTGCCAGGGCCCAAGGAGACAGTAAACACCTCCTCACCCCCTCCACCGCACCCCTTCTCCCTGCTAGGTGGAGTGTGCCAACTTCATACGGGTGCTGCAGCCCCACAACCGGACCCACCTGCTGGCGTGTGGCACTGGGGCGTTTCAGCCCACCTGTGCCCTCATCACGGTCGGGCACCGTGGGGAGGTGAGCCTGGGGCAGGCCCCACAAGGGACTAGGAGGCAGTGACATTTCTGCCCTGCTGTCTGAACACTCCCCATTGAGCCTGGCTCAGGGCAGAGAGGTCAGGGGCCTGAAAGGCATCTTTGTGCCAGGCTGACCCCATTGGTGAGGCCCTGAATGAGGGCGCCTTCCGCCCACTCTCCAGCTGCACGCGATGGCCACTGCCCGGGTGGGGGGCTGGGGCTGCTTTCCCAGGTGACACCCTTCCCTCCCTTCCTCCCTCTCCCCCAGCATGTGCTCCACCTTGAGCCCAGCAGTGTGGAAAGTGGGCGGGGGCGGTGCCCGCATGAGCCCAGCAGCCCCTTCGCCAGCACCTTTGTAGGTGGGTGATGCCCAGGCCAGGACGGGCATGAGGAGGGTGGGTGCTGGCCGATGTCATTGGGAAGGGTTGGGGCCAGCTATGGGGCCTGGCCCTCCTCCGCTGATTCTGCCCCTTTCTCGCCCAGGTGGGGAGCTGTACACAGGCCTCACGGCTGACTTCCTGGGGCGCGAGGCCATGATCTTCCGGAGTGGGGGTCCCCGGCCAGCTTTGCGTTCTGACTCTGACCAGAACCTCCTACATGGTGAGCCCAGGGTCTGCCCGGGGCAAGGCTAGCTGGGGTCTGCCCCCGGAACTGACAGGGAGGCGGGAGAGCCTGGCACTGGAGTGGGGATGGGAGGGGTGGCCCAGCCCCACTCTACTCCCTGGAATTCCAGCCTCCAGTGGGGTCCCCGTGCCTCTTCGCCTCCCCACTGGGTTCACCACCTCTCCACCACCCCCATCCTCCCCTGTGAGCCCCCCGCCCCCAGCCAGCTGCACCCTGTTACCTCCCAGACCCGCGGTTTGTGATGGCCGCCCGGATTGCTGACAACTCCGACCAGAACGACGACAAGGTGTACTTCTTCTTCTCGGAAACTGTGCCCTCGCCCGATGGTGGCCCAGGCCGTGTCACTGTCAGCCGCGTGGGCCGTGTCTGTGTGGTGAGAGCTGTGAGGAGGCAGTGGGCTTCAGATCCTCACCACACCCCCTTCCTACACCCGTCCCCACCAGCAGCAGGAGGGAAACTGAGGCGAGGGGGTGAAGCCCGCATCCATGCCTCTCCCCCCAAGGGTGAGGGTGGAGGAGCAGGAGGGGGGCCCATCCCCGTGGAGCTCGAGGCTGACTCTGACCCTCACCCCCCAGAATGACGCAGGTGGCCAGCGAGTGCTGGTGAACAAATGGAGCACTTTCCTCAAGGCCAGGCTGCTGTGCTCCGTGCCTGGCCCCGGTGGTGCCGAGACCCACTTTGACCAGCTGGGTAAGGGCACGGCCAGGGCCAGGCCTGGGTGTGGGTGCAGAGGGCCCAGAGCCAGTGAGGGGGTGGGCATTGACGGTGGCCTTCTGTCTCCCAGAGGACGTGTTCCTGCTGTGGCCCAGCTCAGGGAAGACCCTCGAGGTGTATGCTCTGTTTAGCACAGTCAGGTGGGCACACGGGCCTCCCCTCACATCCCCATCCCTGGTCCAGTATCTGCACCCCCAGCGTCCTCTGTTGAGCCTCTGCTTTTGTGTCCCGACTTTACCATGGGTCCCTGTCTCTGTCCCTGACTCAAGGACTCGAAGGCTCTCTTCTCTCTCTCCCTCTCTTTGTCCTTGCCTGGGTACCCTCGTTTTCCGGTCTCTGTTGTCTGCAGGCACCGCCACCCTCTGTACTGTCCACGGAGCCAGGCTGCCCCCTTCCCACCTGTGACAGCCACCCTGGCCTGACTGTCCCTGTCTGCCCTCGGCAGCGCCGTGTTCCAGGGATTCGCCGTCTGTGTGTATCACATGGAGGATATCTGGGAGGTTTTCAAGGGGCCCTTTGCGCACCAAGACGGTCCCCAACACCAGTGGGGACCCTATGGGGGCAAGGTGCCCTTCCCTCGGCCTGGAGTGGTGAGTGTCTGCCTGGAGCCTGAACAGGGGAGAGGGCTGAGCGGTGACTAAAGGGACTCCACCTTGGGACAACTTTGCGGCTGAGCTGGGGCTCCAGAGGGGCCAGGTGGGGTAAGGAGGGGAGCCGAGCCCTGACCACATTAAGGAGCCTCTGCTACGGCCCGCGCAGCCCCTCCGAGATGGGCATGCCCGGGCAGTGAGGCCTGGAGACAGGCTGGGGCGGGGAACGTGTGGTCCCAGGATGCTTCAGGTGCTCCCTCTGCTGCCACCCACAGTGTCCTAGCAAGATGACAGCCCAGCCGGGACGACCCTTTGGCAGCACCAAGAACTACCCAGACGAGGTGCTGCAGTTTGCTCGAGCCCACCCACTTATGTTCCGGCCCGTGCGGCCACGGCTGGGCCGCCCCGTGCTTGTCAAAACGCACCTGGCCCAGCAGTTGCGCCAGATCGTGGTGGACCGCGTAGAGGCAGAGGATGGGACCTACGACGTCATCTTCCTGGGGACTGGTGGGTGGGCCGAGTGGGGAGTGGGGTGGCCCGGCTGGGGAGGTGTGCCGGTCGGGGTGGGGGGAGGGGGGCTCTCCTCCCACTGACCCCTCCTCCCCTGCCCCAGACTCAGGCTCCGTGCTCAAGGTCATCGCCCTCCAGGGTGGGGGCTCCACGGAGTCTGAGGAGGTGGTCTTGGAGGAGCTCCAGGTGTTTAAGGTGAGAACGCGCTGTGGGGAGGGGGGACTGATGGGAAGGGGCCCCTCCAGCCCCACTGCTGGGTCTAGGCCTGGCTCCGAGGACACAGGAGCAAAATGCAGGGGCCGGGGGCCTGTTCTTACTGACCTCGCGGGCAGCGGGAGGAGAAAGTGAGACCCTCGCTGCTGCAGGGCCTTGATGGTGCTCCGTCTGGCCGTGGGGCCCCGAGAAAAGTTGGAGGGCCCAGGGAGGGTGTCCAAGGTGGTCACCCCTTGACAAAGCCCTGCCAGGCTCAAGTCGCAGTGAGGGGGTGGCTGAGACCCCAAGTCCCTAAGGGCTTCTGTGGGCCCCTCTATAGAGCCAGGCAGGGCGTCATCTGTATCTGGGGGAGTGCTGTGCTCCTGACATGGATGGGTGGTGTGGGACAGTGGCCTCATTGCTGGAGAACAGGGCTGTGGGAGGGGACGCTGGAGCTTTGTGCTTTTTGCTAAGCCTCCTCCTTGGAGGCCAGCCAGCGTGAGGGGACCTTTCTAATAACCCAGCGTCTGGGAAAGACTGTCTGGCCTTGGTTGCCAGGGAGTGCACTGACCCAGGCTGGGAGGTAGGTGGCTCCCACGCTGGCACTGGAGGAGGCTGAAGCAGGGACACAGGGGAGGTCTGGCCCCAGCCCACCCCTCTCTGGGACCCTCCTCCTTCTGCAGGTGCCAACACCCATCACTGAGCTGGAGATCTCTGTCAAAAGGGTAAGAGCAGCTGCTATCCCGCCCTTCCTCCTTCCTCTAACCCCTACCCCGCTGAAGCTCTTTGAGCACGACAGGCTGGCCGCTGTCTGCTGGAAAGCGGTGCTGCAGCAGGCCCCGGGCCGCCTGATGATGAGGCCTTGTAATGAGGCTTGAGAGTCCAGCGGGGAGCTGAGATGCCCATGTAGGAAACCAGTGGGCGGTGGGAGCCCTGAGCCAGTGAGGCTGTGTTCAGAGAAGGGGAGATCTACAAAGGCCAGTCCCCCTGGGGAGACAGCTTCATGCTTGAAAACAAAATCCAGAATTTGAATCCAATAGGGGAGAGCCACTTTTTAGAGGCCTGCTTCGTCCTTTCGCAAGTGGCAAAATCTCAAGCCTATCTGCCCCGGTTTATCTTTGGGTAAGTCCCAACTTTTGTATTGGGATTGGTTAAAGCAGAGTGTAATAAGCTCAGAGGCAAGTCAGGATAAAGGTCATTGAGGTAAAGAGCAAAAGTCAGCAGCAGGAAGGGCCTGGACAAGCCCCTTCGAGAAAAGGTCTGCCCCAAGCCCTCCGTGTCCTAGCACAGGATCTGGTGTATGTCAGGTGCGTGATAAACATTTTTGGTATCTGGGGATGCATCCAAGAGGTTCTGGAAGACTGCCTGCAAGTGGTGGGGCAGTCTCAGGAAGCCCAAGGGGGCCAAGAGCCTAGCTGCTTCTAGGTGGGGCCGAGGCTCACGTTGGCCCTGCTTGTGTCCCTCCCAGCAAATGCTGTATGTGGGCTCGAGGCTAGGCGTGGCCCGGCTGCACCTGCACCAGTGTGAGACTTATGGCAGTGCCTGTGCCGAGTGCTGCCTGGCCCGAGACCCGTACTGTGCTTGGGATGGTGCCTCCTGCACTGGCTACCGGCCCGGCACCAGCAAGCGCCGGTTCCGCAGGCAGGACATCCGGCATGGCAACCCTGCCCTGCAGTGCCTGGGCGAGAGCCAGGAAGGTGAGTGGTGGCAGGCACGGGGGCACCAGCTGGGCTCCCACAGGCCCCGCCTTGCCCCTCTGGCCTGGGCTCAACCCCTGGGAAGTGTGGCCTCAGACTGGTCCTGTGTTAACAACCCGCCCCCCACCCCCGGTATTCCTACGCGTGCAGTTCCCGTCAGTGTATGGGTGGAGGGTCTTTGGACAGAGTAATGGACACCTAGGTCCCTGTCACACTGGTGGGGGCCCCGGGGTCCCACAGTCCTGAGCTGAGCCCCCCTCCAACTCCCCCCCCAGAAGAGGCTACAGGCCCCGCGGCAGCCAGCACGGTCTACGGCACGGAGCACAACAGCACCTTCCTGGAGTGCCTGCCCAAGTCTTCCCAGGCTGCCGTGCACTGGTTCTTGCAGAGGCCAGGAGGCCAGGGGCCCGACCAGGTGAGCAAGGACCCGGCCTTGACCCAGTGCAAGGAGCCTGCACGTGTCCTGATGCCACATCCCTCCCTGAACCCCAAGTCCTGAACCCTAGGAAGGGGCTGTGGGGGGAACCTCCCAGGGCAACTGAAGAAAAGTATGTAGTAAGTCGCTGGGGTGCCTGGAAGAAGGTGCCCTTCCTCCTGCCTCTGGGAATCCCCAGGTGAGATATGGCTGCAAGCCATTCAGTGACAGGGAGCCCGCTAACTCCCAGGCACTGAGCTGAGCTCTGGGACGTGGGTAGCAGAGATGGAAGAGAGGAAGGGGGGCTGGGCGGGTCAAGAAGTCCCCCATGCTGGGCGCCTGGGTGGCTCAGTTGGTTAAGCGGCTGCCTTCGGCTCAGGTCATGATCCTGGAGTCCTGGGATCGAGTCCCACATCGGGCTCCCTGCTCGGTGGGGAGTCTGCTTCTCCCTCTGACCCTCTGACCCTCTTCCCTCTCATGCTCTCTGTCTCTCATTCTCTCTCTCAAATAAATAAATAAAACCTTTAAAAAAAAAAAAAAAAGAAGTCCCCCATGCTTACACATATGGCTCATCTGTGAAGGGATCTCTTTCCCAGGGGTTCGTGGTTCTCCTCCGCCCAGGGTGGCGCCTAACTTGCACTGAAACTTGCACACACATACCCCCCTACACCCACACCCACTGCCTAGTTCAACACTTCCTCCATGGAGTCCAGCTGTCTGCCCAGGCCCCTCTCCTCCCCCATCCGGAAAGGTCTGTCAACCCCAGAAATGGCTTCAGGCTGGGGCCTGCAGAGGGAGTGGGTGGGGCAGGGCGAGGAACCATTCTCCAGCCTCTCCCATGGGCAGAGAAGGGGAGGGAGTGGGTTGATTATAGGAGGGGCTCTCCTCCCAGCTTGGGAACTGGGGGAGGCCAGCTTTGGACCAGCTGTCGGGCTAGGCACTAAGAAGATGCCCCCAGGAGGCCAGAGGCAGCGAGCAACAAGACGGTTACACAGTACTTACCACCCAGGCAGTCCAGCGTCCACGTGCAGATGAGCAGACAGGGTCCAGGCCGGGTCAGAATAGCACTTCGGCCTCCTGCACTGTGATGGGCACTCAGCCCGCCCCTGGTTGGGGGGAGTGAACAGTGCAGACAGGGGCTGGGAGGCTGTGTGTGTGTGTGTGTGTCTGTGTGTGTGTGTGTCTGTGTCTGTGTGTGTCTGTGTGGCGGGGGGCAGAATGGAGGGGACTTCTGGTCCTAGGGCTGTGGGTATAGCCCTCCCTGAATAAAAGCCCATAAATACCTTTACCCACCCTGGTCCCTGGGACTATGTGGCGGGGCCCCCTAAGGCCAAGGTAGGTGCCCCAGAGCTCTGACTAGGGGAGAAACCAAAAGCCTTCTTTGCAAGCCCCGTCCTGGGTCCTGGGAAGGTGAGACCCTGCCTGCAGGGTCACAGTCTGGAGGAGGAGGCCAGCCTGGGCAGGAGAGAGCGGGGAGAGGGAAGTGCTTCAGCGACGGGCCCTGAGATGTGAATCTGGAAACGAGCGCGCCCCCCCTCCCCAGAGAAGCTGATGGTGTGCATGTGTGTGAGAAGCTGATGGTGTGTGTGTGTGTGCGCGCGCGCGCGCGGGCGCTGCTCCCTGCCCCCCTCACACCCTCCCACGCTCCCAACAGGTAAAGACAGATGAGCGAGTCCTGCAGACAGAGCAGGGGCTGCTCTTCCGCAGACTCAGCCACCTGGACGCTGGCATCTACACCTGCAAGACACTGGAGCATGGCTTCTCCCAGACCGTGGTCCGCCTGGCTCTGGAGGTGATTGTGGCCTCGCAGCTCAACAGTCTGTTTCCTCGGGAGCCGAGGCCAGAGGAGCCCCCAGCCCGGGGTGGCCTGGCCTCTACCCCCTCCAAGGCCTGGTATAAGGACATCCTGCAGCTCATCGGCTTTGCCAACCTGCCGCGGGTGGACGAGTACTGTGAGCGCGTGTGGTGCTCCTCCAGGAGCCGAGGCAAACAGGCCAAGGGCAAGAGCTGGGCGGGGCTGGAGCTGGGCAAGAAGGTGAAGAGCCGGGTGCAGGCCGAGCGCAATCGGACGCCCCGGGAGGTGGAGGCCACGTAGAAGACCGTGGAGGAGAGGGTGGTCGGGATGCACCGGGTGGCCCAGCAGCCCCCCGAGTCTCCCACCCACCCAGCTAGGGCAGAGGGGGCCCAACATGCCCGATTGCCTCTTAGAGATGGGAGTCCCTGCCCGCCATACTTCTACCGGGCTGCCCACAGGAAAGGCTGGGGCCCGATGGAGGGGCCCCGTGTCCAAGGCCTGTTCCCTGCCCCTCTGTGCTCCCAGTCCTAGGCTGGAGCCAGCACCCTCTGGCTGCGGCCAACCCCAGCGGGCCTCCTGTTTGTTCTCAGATATGGCCCCCAGAGCACATTTCCGGTTGTGCCCGGCGGTGAGAGGGCTGGGTGGTTCTTTCCCAGCCAGCAGAACAATGGCCATTCTGAGTGACCCTTGGAGTGGGTGTGTGGGTGCGTCCGAGGAGGTGCCTGGGCAGGGGGCCTTAGGCAGCCAGAGGAAGATAGAGGTTGCCTCTAAGCTAGCACCCATTAAGAGGACCTAGTGTAACTTGGGGTGGGGAAATGGAGGCGCTGGGAGGGTGGAACAGCAAGACCCCCCCCCTACTTTGTGCCCTGATATCTTGGTGGCTCCCTGCTGCTGCCCACCACCTCTTCTCCATCACAGAATCGTAGAAGCATTGGCAGTCACAGCTCTCTGGCACCCGGGGGGTGGTCTGGGTCTCAGGCCCTACTTCATAAACCAAGCTGTGTCCCACAGCCTGACTTGCCTCCCCAGACCCCAAGCTGCCAGGCCAGGTTCCCTGGGATGCCCAGACCTCCTGATGGGATTCTCCCTTCCCACCGTCAGGGTCTCCATGCTGATGAGCAGGGAGAGGGTGGGTTCTAGGAGAATGTCATCCCCCTCTCTGTGGACTAGACATGGGGAGAGGGGAGCTGGGGGAGTGTGGGGCAGGAGGAGGGGGCTGTCTTTCACAGGGCAATGCAAGCATGCCCACAGCTGGGGAGGGCGGGAATGCGGCAGCTCCCTGAGCAAGCTGCAGCTGGTGGGAGAACCAGGCGCAGGGCTTTGCCAGGGGCCACAGAGGACTGGGAGGCTTCTGGGATGGGGAAAGGGTGAGAGACGCTAGGATGGGCTATGGGACCCCAGAGCAGGCATTCTCAAGAACCCAAGATAGCATCAATTAGCTCGGGAGGCACAGGAAAACCAGATGTTTCCCAACCTGGAATCTTTAGTTTCTACTAAGTAAGGGTTGGTGGTGAATGGTTTCATTTATGAAGACTTTCTCTTTTAAGGGAAAAAAAATGGAGGGCAAAAGCCAGTTAAGTCCTGCTCGTTCTTGGGTGTGAGGCTCAGGTGGCCAGGATGCATTTTGTCTGGCCGTGTAGGGAGGTGTTTTTGCCATCAGCAGTGATGTGTTTCTCGGGCTGGGGAGCACAGAAGGGAGGAGAGGAAGGACTGAACGAAAAGTCATTCCCAGCCTGCATAGGAGCAGGTTAGTGACGCACAAAACCAACAGGAGGTGGACAAGAGCATCAGGTTCAAGATTCCCTCCATGAAAACAACCAAAATGAAGAAAGGACGAAAAAAAAAAAAAAAACAGATAACAAGCAGGACAGGGCTTCCTGCTCCATTGAACTCAAACCCAGACTGTGCATCTGCCTTGGATATTATCTGAGTCACCCCATCACGCCCAGAGAACTGGGATCCAAAATAGGCCCCCCCTTCCTCTTTAAACTTCACAGGCAATGAACCAGAGGCACTGAGACCGACCGGACAACCCTTTGGGAAGCCTCGGGCCTGGGGTTGCTATGGCTGGGCTGTCCGCAGGTAAAAGCAGAGGAGAGGAGGACTGTGGGAAGTGGGGCTGGGGAAGGGAGCAGAGGGAGAGGGAGGGGCCATGGAAGAGGGGCAAGTAAGAGCCCGGAGGCCCAGGAATGGGTGTGCAGAACTGCAGCCCCTCTATCCCGCGAAACAAGGAAGAAATGCCGAGGCTCTCAGAGGCCTCTAGGCTGGACCCAGGCATCGCCCGCTCCAGGTGTGAGCCACTCTACGCAGGGTTCTCTGGGGAAGTTACTCTGGAAAATGGAAGAGAGGAGCTCAAAATCCTGAACAACGAACGCCTGCACTTAGAAAATTATGGACAGCTTCTGCCAACTCCCCACACCTCCCACCCCGGTGGTACTGTATGTGATTAACTCCTGGAGATGCCTCTATGTGTGAATTCTATTTTTATATTCATATGTTGAGATCGGCCTTGTGGTTTCTCTGTCTTCAGAGCACCCTTCTCGTAATTACTATTGTTATTTTTATTGTCATGACCACCTCTGTGCTCTGAGGAGGATACACGGTGGTCTACCACACGGACCTACAAGGAAGGCGATGGAGTGAATATTTATATCACATAATTATATCATTATTGTATCTTTGTATTTCTGTTCTAAATTGACTGATGCCCTCTGTGTGAGCTAGAAAGGAAGAGCCTTTCCATCCATTCCAGGAGGGAGACGGCCACCCTAAGGGGTATGTTCTAGAAAGGAGGGAGATGGGCAGGAGGGGAAGGAAGGAAGGAGTCAAAGGGCTTTGTCTAGGAAACTGAGTTCGCTTATTAAGTTAGGAAACTCCTGCCCCTCAGGCTTCTGAGCTGACCTTCTTGGGCTTCAGGAAGATCTTGAGTCAGAAAAAAAAATGCTGGCAAAGGGCAGCTGGGCACGTAGGCAGCCCTGTTCCTTCTCCACAATAACACTTGATATTTGTAACAGCAACGCTTGGCTTGGCGCCTGTGTTCGTCGCAAGCCACATACCAACGTATATTAAGGCTGGTGCTCTTGCCTGGGGTGCTGGGCTGCGCTGTGGGGGTTGAAGCTTCTGAGGAGGAGGGGATGTCTGGATGCCGCTGAAGGCGCCACTGACTGTGTCCCCCCCCCAAGTGACATCATGCCCCTGCCCAAATAACAGAGCCCACTGTGCCGGAGGGAGATGGGAAAGGGCAGGAGCGATTCGAAGGTGGGAGGGACATCTTGCCAGGAAGACTAGCCTCTTGCTAGTATGCTGAGTATGGGCCCCTCAATCCATACTAGAGAGTAGGGGGGCTTAACAAGTCAGTCATCTGCCCCATCTGGCGGCCCAGGAGCAGGGCCCCTCCTTTTGCCCCTGGGCCTGACAGAACTGAGCCTCTGTGTCCTGCCCTAAGTCGCCACCACCACGGCCCCCGCGGCCTGAGAAGCATCAGCAGCGGTCCCTCGGCCCAGAGTGTGGGGTGGGGAGGGACTTGACCTCCACAGCCACTTCTCTCCCTAGGCCGCAGCACCCCTGTTCCCACCTTCCTACCCCGCGGGCCTGGACTTCTCCCCCTCATGCCTCCCACCTTGAGCCCTATTTCCTGCCTCAGGGGCCTCCCTCGCTCTCTCGCTGGCAGCTTTTTCCTCCAAGTCTCATACTTCCCCTAGTCTTTGGGCCAGTGTCATCATTTCCCAAATGGGTTTAGCATGACAAGGGTCAAATAAATATGGGGATTTCTGTCCCTTTAGCCCTGCTGCTGTGTGTGCAGCCCTTTTGCCCTGTGAAATCCCTAAGAAGCCCACGATAATGTCTGATTAACTTGCATGTCTGTTATGAGCTACATGATTCTCCCAAACCTGGGGTCCCTTTTTCCCATCAAGTAATCACCACCTCATGTTTCTAATGTTTTGAAGCACACTTTGGGAAAACGCGGATTTGATTAATTCCTTCCCCTGCCATGTGGGATTAGTTTATTCATCTCTGCTTTCTAAGCCTGTAAACTGTGGAGGCCCTGGCCTCCCAGATCGAATAGCCACAACTTGGCTTCCCGTGGCAGGCACCGGAGCGGGACCCGCCATCCCAGGGCCAGGGCTGCCAAGCCGCCAGTCTGCTGGCCCCTGGGCCTGGCCTCTGCCCATCCTCCCACATTCAGTCTGCCTCCACAGGCCACTTCCTGGCAAGATCCTCTGTGGATGGCTAGGGTTCACCCCAAGCCTGTGGCTGTCCAGCAGTCCAACAGACTCATTTCTAACGGGGGGGGGGGAGGGAGCAGAATAGAGGAAGAAAACAGCTCTTTTCACTTTCTCAAGTGACCTCCTTGCACTCAGCTAAGCCCAGGTCAGTTTCTAGACATCCCTAGAATCCCCCAGCTGGAGGAGGGAGCAGGCAGCAGCCATCAGGAGCCAGGCTGTCCTCTCCATGGGCCCAGGTGCAGGTACAGCAGGGGTGGGGGGCTGACCAGGGAACCCACTCACATGCCTCTGCCAGTCCAGGGCACTGAGGCTTCCCCAACCAGCCACATCTCCTTCGTAGAACCAGGAGACACTTGCTCAGAAACCGTCCGATTTCCATTCCTAGTTAGGGATCCACCCCAGCCTTCCCCAAGTGCTGGCTCTCAGGGTCTCCCAAAGGAGAAGTTTCAGGCCACACCAAGATCAAATCCCCAAGGTTTTCTGAGACGACAAACTTGGCCCTGGTGTAGGGAGAGGGTGAGTGGGTGGGGCTAGGTTTCATACAATACCTGACTAGGAGCTTAAGGATTGTTGGGCCCCTGCCCTGGCTCCTCTCCCGGACTCACCCTGCACCCCTGGGGAACAGATGAGGCAACAGCAGCTATGGCCCTGTGTCCACTTCCCACTGCCCTGCCCCTGCCCACCCTTGCCATGGCTACCACTACTGGGCCTGTTCCCTAGAGGCCTTGTCCTAATGAAGCCTTTCACTTTTCACTGGATTTTCACTAAGGAAACTCCTGGTTCCTCAATGGAGCCTTTTAAAAGGTCATTCTCCACCGAGGATGGGAAATGTTGCCCAGATTCATAGAGAGGCCTGCTCCTATCCTCACCCAGACCTTAGCAGTCAGCTAGGAGCTTGCACTCAGGGACTCTGCTGAGGGGGACTCAGGTGACCTGTCTTGACCCCTTTCCCCCAGGGAGGAAGATGACTGGAGTGTACCCTAATCCATCCCAACGGGGTGTGTTTCACTTCCATAAGCATCCCGTTGGGCGGAGAGAGACCAGGAAAAGGGGACCGTTGTGGGCTGGCAAGGATTTCAAAATGGACCAACAGAGGCCTGCAGCCGAGTCCAGGTGTCTGTCATCAAATGGAAAGAACTACAGTAGTAGGGACACATAAAGCCCGGAGATTTAGGAGGACAAGGAGGGCT